TTGTGGAGTCAGAAAGTGTTGGATCCACAGATGGAAGAAAGGTTGTATTCTTGGACAGCCTCCATCTCTGGGAGCCCTTCCTACATTGTCAGAGTGGGGCCCCTCCCTGCATTCCCAGAGACAGAGGAAGGTCCACTGTGTCTCTTTCACTTGGGTTTCTTATGGGGTAGCTACTCACCAGACACAAATCAAATTTGGGTTTTGAGGGTTGGTTTGTTTGTTTGTTTGTTTTAATCATTGCATCTATTGCATTGCCCACATTTGGATGTGAGTCTGATCCATTCTCTGTCCCGTGGGACAGCTGAGATGTTCATGGTATTAGTTTCCTGTGGCTGCTATAACAAGTTGCCACAAACTTGCTGGCTTAAAACAATAGAGGTTTATTCTCTCACAGTTCTGGAGCCCAGAAGTCTAAAATAAAAATGCAGGCTGGGCAGTCTCCCTCCAAAGCCTCTAGGAGAGAATCCTCTCTTGCCTCTTCCAGCTCTGAGTGGCTCCAGGTGTCCCTGGACTTGTGACAGCATCAGTGCAATCTCTGCCTCCGTCTTCACACGGGTCTTCATGGGGGTCTTCACACGGCCTTCTCGCCTATGTTTTCTTCTCTTCTCTTAGAAGAACACCTGCCATTGAATTTACGGCCCACTTTAATTCAGGGTGATCTTATCTCAGGATCTGTAGTTTAATTAAATTGTCAAAGACCCTTTTCCAAATAAGGTCACCTGCACAAGTTCCATATATTTTAGTATCCACCATTCAACCCACTACACTCAGTATAAACTGATTCAACTACACTGCACGAGCTTCCATTAGATCTACACGACAAGCAGGGAGGGTCTGCAGGAAGCAATTTCACAGGCAATGAGAAAGGGACGGAGCTAGAAAAAGCATGGAGGAGGACATGATGGGTTTTATTGTCTGGTCGTGTAGGTGGGCAACACTAATGGGAAAAGGAAATCTAGGGTGGCTGCAAAGAGCTGGGAGGATACCAAAGAAGAGAGGCTGGATGGCAGGGGTGATGTGCTCTGTTTGGGGAGAATGTGAGGTTATTGCAAGAACTATTCATTGGCTGATCCAACCGAGGACTCTTTGTGCCTCAGTTTCCCCACAAATATATGGCACTTCCAGCTTTTCTGGGATGTGCTGAGTTCTCTGTGCAATAAATTAACCTGGCTTTCTTCCTTGGAGGACACTTAACCAGAGTCAGGGACAAGCTAACAGAGCAGCAGTTACAAAAATACTGATTTAATTTATTTTACTATATGGATGGCATGGGTTGAGTGGCCCAAAGGAAAGATTGCTGGTACCATGAGGTCATGTAAGATGACGTGCATCTACTTACTATGGTAAACAGCACTGTTATCCCCAAGTGCAGTGGCCAACTTGGGAATGTTAAGCATCCCTTCCAAGGTCAGATCTCAATGCAATGCAAAACAAGCAATGTTGAGCTCTTATGACTAACACTCTTTAATAACACTTTCTGTTATTAAATTATGGGTGGAAACTATCATTCTTTCAACATTTCTAAAAAATATAAACATTTTTTTAAAAAGTCTCTAAAATCCAAACACTAAAGAATGATTTAAGGCAGAGAGATCCGCTAGCAGGAAACCTGCTAATGCATGATGCTCTTTGTAAGTATTTTTAAAACAAACAGACTTTAATTACTCACTGTCCAGGTAGATGGCGATGTATTTGACAGCACTGTTAATATTTTCCCCTGTAGAAAGAAGAGCCCCTCCTCTCCATGCTCCATTCTCCCTACACCCCACCCAGTCTCTCATGGGTTCCTCAGCTGCTCTAGCCAAGCCTGGCCCTGAGCAGTAAGCAATCACATGCTCTGGCATCCTCTGCAGCACAGCTGACATACACTGGGCAGGAGATTAGTGACCTGTAGCCCTGGCTTTGCCACCAACCCCGCCTGGTCACTCGGAACGGAATCTCCACTCTCAGATTCCTGGTTCCTTCTCTGTAGCACAGAACTGTGAAGGATGCCCGCCAGTTTACTACTACTGAAGGTTGCTGTAAAAACGAAATAAAAAGAAAGTTCGACTCTCTTCTTAAAGTTAAAAAAGCTAAAGCTGATCATCTAGAAGGGTCAGAGGTAGCCCCAGGGCTGTTGGGGTTGTGAGGCACCAGGAAGAGACAGAGGGAATTCCCAGACTCTTTCCCATCCTGCTGACATTGGACTGGTCAAAGCCACTTAGGTGAATGTTACGTGGGCTGTCAGAGCACAGAAATCCAGAGACATGATAAAATCGAGGGCTCCTTCTCAATGCAGGAATAGGTCAGAATTCCCTTGGCATCAGAGAGATTCAAAGGACTCTGCACGATTAACTCCATGGTTCACTACTGGATATGAACCCAGACTGGCAGCCATTGATCTGTTATTTATGTATCTATTCCCTATCTTAGAAACATTCCTCCTAGCATGAAGGCATCAGTTAGCCAGTGTTCTAGAATAAAAATAGATGCCCAGCATGTGGCCCACCCTTAGGAGGCTCCTACTAGAAGGGAACATGAACATATATATGGGCATGTATAGGGCCGTATCATAAAGCAATGTTGTTTACATGTGTATGGCCTGTTTCCCCAAATACAATAAAAGATCCATGAGGCAGGCTCCATCTTCCATCTTTAATCTCTGTTTCTCATTGCCTAGCATGTTGCCTCATACAGAATAGGCCCAATAACTATCCTTTGAGAAGTGAATGAATTGACTCATGAACAAATGGAATGAATGGCAAAACCGAGGTGTGCAAAAGTACTAAAGGGACTCAAAGAGGAAGCACTGGGAAAGAACTCATAGGAAGAAATATTTGAACTTGATCATGAAAAGTGGAAAGTATTTTGCAGATCCAAAGGAGGCAAAAGGGATAATCTGATCAATGGTATGAAAGCATGAAAGAAAAAAGCAAAGTAAGGCCCAGAGGCCACAGTGTGGGGAGTTTAGCAGGGAGAGAGCGGCAGGAAATGAGGACACACAACAGAACTGGATTCAAGACCACTGGGGCGGGGATCTTGGCTGTCCTGGTTAACAGTTTGAGTTTTATCCGACAGAATGCAGAACTGTGAGGATTTTCAAGCAAGGAGGTGCCTTGCTAATGTTCTGCTAAGTAGAGAGGTTTATCTTGGTGCAGTTTGGTGGGTGGGTTGGGCTCCAGGAGGCCAAGGAGATTAGAAGGGGTGATGTGTGCAGCCAGGCTAGAAATACTGAAAGCAAACCTAAGACTGAGTATAGCTTATGGGGGAAGAGAAAGGGACAGAGTCCAGAGGCATTGGGAGAATTTGATGGTTAGGAACTGATAACAGACCAGAGAGATGGTAAGGACGGAGGGGAGGAAAGGGAAGACTCAAGGTTGGTTCCCAGGATGCTGGTTTGGAAACTGTATGGGCAATGGAACTTTTACTGGGAAAAAGGCCTGAGTTTGCTGGAAGAACACCAATTAGAAGGGCCTAAAAAATAGTCTGATGTTCATGTCGAGAACTTAGAAGAGAAGACAGAGTACAGATATAGGTTTATGAATCAAGCTCTACCCAGATAGGAAAAAGAAAAACAATGAGTAATTAAATTCACAAAATAATATCATAATAAAATAATTTTGAAATACTTAAACAATGGAAAAAATAGAATGAGTAATAATGAAATAATGTCATCATCTTTCTAGGTGGTCAATTTACACAGTGGCAAAATATATCCAAACAGCTCACTGGTATTTTTTTCTATTTATCACATTGTATTCTATGGGCTATGCACAAAATCCCAGACGGAGAGAGAGCGTCAAGTCATCAGGAAAGATCTCCCGGAGTCCTTTCGTTGTGTGCACATTCATGCATGTCCACCAAGCTCCACTGTGGGCCAGGCACTGACCCAGGCTCCAGGAATGCTAAGTCCTGCAAACCTCTGCTCTCATGGAGCAGAGACATGAATACAAGCTACAAGTTAAAACAAAAGTAAACTTAAATCTCAGACAAGTGCTGTAAAGGAGCCAGTCTGAGAGGTCAGGAAGGGTTCTCTGAGAAAGTAGCACTTGAGCTGAACTCAGAAGTATGAGTTGCAGTTAACGAGAAGGAAGACAAGGCCGTCCGAGAGTGAGAGAAGGAACAGAACCTAAAGGAGCCCTGTGGGAAAGAATAGAGAAGTTCCCAAGGACCGAGAAGAGGCAAGTCTGGCTCATACAGAGAGAATGGGAAGAACGATGAGGTTAGATGAGCTAACAAGGTGGTTGTCAAGAAGCATTTGTCGAGGAAAAAAATCACCAGCCAGCGTTTGATAGAGCTCACAAAATGCCTGCAAAAGAAAAGAAAGTATGTTAAACTTGGCTAATTAAATGAAGTAGGGATGCATAACAATGATGGTTTATGATAATGAATGTATTTAATGAATGTTAACAAATTAACTCAATGTGAAATAATTTAATCTTTATAGAAAGTGCCTTAGAAAAGTACCTAAATTATATGGGAGTTCAATAAATATTACTCGAGTCAGAGTTTCTATTGCTAAACAGTCTGCCTTCCTACATTGGGTAACCTTTGCCAGACAGTTTTCAAACTCAGCTAAGATAGGTGAGCATCCAGAACATGACCTGATTCATGGTTAGCGTCCCTTCAATACCTAAACAGCATCTCATCAACCACGTGGCAAAAGTATGATGCTCTTTGTCTGACAGATGAGACAGATACTGGTGGAAGGTACCAAGGTCACCCTGCTGTTGTGGGCAAGGCAGCCCGGATACTCTTATTGAGTAGGATGCTCCTTCCGCCCCACACTGCTGCCCCCTGCAAAACAAAGCTCTTACATTAAAAAAAATAATAATAATTGCATTACTTTAAACACAGATTTTTTAAAACCCCAATAGAAATGCAAAGCGAGATTCAGAATTATGTGTGAGACGTAATTACTTAAATCTGGGTGGTTGTTTCTATGAATGAATGCACTTAATTAATTTTTCCTCCTAGCTTCTTGCTCCTTCCCAGCTATAATCTATTTTCTTTCATCCCAGGGGCAATGGAAGGACAACAAAAGAAGGATCCAGTGATTTGAAATTCCAGAACTTCGCTCTGCCGAAAAATAGGTCAGAATATTTATTTGTTTATTAATAGAGAGTAAAAGTTTTAATTCTGAGGCCAATAAGCTGACCATCACACACAAACACGTTCACACACACAGACAATGTTCATGGGATAGAATGGCGCTGCTGGAAGTGATCTTAGAGGTTGCACAGAGACCAAGGTGCGGGAGAAGGGACTTGATGGGGGTTAAATGCCAGCCGATGTGTGACACAGACCCAGCCTCCCCAGCGGGGAGCCCCCAGCATCCACAGCTTTGCAGGCCAAGCCTATGCCCACCAGCCACCTAGGTCTCTAAACAGCTTTTCAGGCCAAGCCTATGCCCACCAGCCACCCAGGTCTCTAAACAGCTTTGCAGGCCAAGCCTATGCCCACAAGCCACCCACATCTCTAAATAGCCCAAGAGGGAGCCACTGGGGGGGAGGCGTCCATTCCTCTGGCAGAGAATGACTGAAGCAATGGTCATGGGGCAGACCACGAGCCCCCCATGGAGTCTCACAGCAAGCATCTGAGAGCCAAGTGCCCGTGTCATTCTTTTTCTTTGTCCTTCAGTTGAGGAAATCATTTAAGAAGCGGTTATGGCATCAAGACTTGCGCAGGCTACTGAAAACACACAGACAAAAGACAAAGCCCTCCCCTCAAAGGGCTCACGGACTAGTCAGAATCAGAACTGATATGAAATAGGAACTAACTTGATTAAATCACTGATAAGAGAGCAAGCCCAGAGTCAGATTCAGTTCTGCATTGACCTGTACTGACCAGTGGACTGACCCTGGGGACCTCCTGACACTCAGGACGCTTGAGAGGTCTGTCCTGCACCCAGCCGGCACTTCCTGGCCAAGCCCACCTAGAGACGGCCAAGGGGCCCTTTGACTTACCATTGGTCACAGCCCAATTGAGTTCCACTCAAGTCCACCAACCAAACATCCTTCAGTCCCCACTATGTGCCAGACACTGCAAGCAGTCTTGGGATCCTAAGATGTGCTAGAATATTCTCCCTAAGCAGCGTGAATAAGACAGAGTATTTGAGGTATTTTTCAAAACCACTTTAACTAAAGGAAAATTTGTGGCTGTTCTCAGACTTCTTTAATGTTTACATTAAATACATTTGAATAATGCATTGCAAGTCCATTTTTCTTATTTCTTGACAATAGCAAGAGATGCGAGATGGAAGGGTTAGAAGCCTTCCTTCAAATGGAGTGGGTTGAAGCAATTACATACATCAAAGTAATATTTACAGTTACATTTGGGGGAAAAAAAAGACAGAGGGAGAAGAGCAGTGCTTTTTCTCCAAAGCAAATTATTTCAGAATGTGTCATAGCATGCTCGAGATATATTAAAAAGAGCAACAGACGATGTTTCTGAAACCTGTTCCAAACCGTTTATAAACCCAAATTAAAAAAAAAAAAATCCCATATACATACAAATCTCTATACCACTGAATATTTTATAATGAAAGTATTATATGAATATAAATTAGTATTTGGGATATATAAATCAAACTAAAATGTCTGAAAAATACATTTTTGGTTCAACCATCTTCCTTTCATAACTATTAAGCCAATGTATCCATCCCCATAGAAATTATAATTATTGGCATTTAGCGATGGAGGTAAGGAGGAAGATATTGACGGGCAGCGTTGCGGTGCAGAGTGAGTGAGTGCAGGGGGCCTGGATTGCAATCTTGGCTGACCAGAAGCCTCCTGCCCTTCCAGCTCCTCTTGCTTAAAAATGATATTTGAAACAGTAGACTCTCTTGTCCACCTCTGAATCCCTTGAACCCATAGCAGGGCCAGTGTTTGGAAAACAAAAGAATGCCCCCTGTAGTGTGCCTGGAACATAGTACATTCTCAATAAATAGCACAGGCTCATAGTCACTGAGTGCTCACTATGTACTAGGCTCTGTTCTAAGAGCTTCATACGCAGCTCTCACTAGATCCCAAAACTCACATTCTTATTAGTCTTCATTTTCCAGGAGAGAAGAATGCAGCCCAGAGAGGGTGAATAACTTCCCCCAAGGCTAAATGGCTAGTGTGGTATGGTAAATGGTAGACATGATCGTTAATCCTATGAAATAACACGTTCAGAACTCCCGGTTGTCCATGCTGCTGCCCTCTTGCTAAGTGGAGTGTGGCAGTTAACTCTCCTGGCAGGTGCAGAAGGCTGTCCCACCCCCAGGCCACCCGCCCCCAGCTCTAACGGGCACTGACCTCCTGCTACCATACAAAGTAAAATGCTGAGTGCTGGGGCCCCACCCAGAACACACGGACCCAGAGGTTCTCCAAGAACACAGATCAAGTGCACATTCATTGTCTGTGACCTCTCTGCAATAAATATGGAGATGGATGTGTCCTATAATGTCCCATGGAATTCATCTGACTAAATCCCCTATACCCGCTTCTATTTTGTGCTGTCCCCCATGTATATATAGAACCGTAGCAATCGATCTTTTCCAATTAAGTGCAAACTCAAATCAATAATTGAGCACCTAATGTGTACCAGACACCATGGAAGGAACTTTGGCATCCACCCTTCACAGCAATGCTCTGAAGTAGGTATCATTGTTCCCATTTATAGATAAGGAAAACCGCGCTGAGAGAGATGACATGTTTTGGTCACCAGCACAGAGCTAGCAAGCGGACTTAAATTCAGAGTGTGACTTCAAATCAAGCGCTCTTTCCGGGTTCTAAGTAACAAAAACTTTGTATACATATGAATTTAGGTTTCTGTTTCTGTGGGTCACTAATAGCTCATGTTGAGAGTCCCCCGGTGAAGAAGGGGCGTGTGCATTGCACTCTTGAAAAGCACAGCCACGTCTCTGATGCAGCGCTGCCTCGTAGAGTTAGGCCTGGGTCCAGCAGCATCAGCATCTCCCAGGAGCTTAGAAATGCAGATTCCCAAACTCCGACCAACAGCATCAGAAAGGCAAGTGCTGGAGCCGGCACCTGTGTTCGAACAAGCCCTCTGGGTACAGTCTGATCGCACTGGTGTTTGGAAGCTTCAGCTGGAACCATTGTTACCTCGAGTGCAAGATTTGGAGCTGGGGGAGAGGCCTCTGGGCTCACATAGTGTTCTGCCCCCACTGGCTGAGGGACAGTAAGTGGGAGGGAGGGAAGAAGAGAGAAGATGGGGCCAGGGAGATGGTGGGTGTGAGAGCTGTTGTTCCCACTGGGGAATGTCTGACCTCTTACATGAGTGCCCTAAAGGCCACTGTGTTGAGCACTGGGAAAATCAAAGATGAACAAGACAGGCCCTGCCATCAGGATCCCCGTCTATGGCGGGGACAGGAGAGTGAGCTTGGAACCACAAAATGCCACCTATAACAGATCATAAAGCCATGCCACGTGCCGTGGCTGAAACAGACACAGGCCCAATGGGGACATGAGGGACATAGGATCAAGGAAGTGAAGGACTTTAGCGAGCAGCAGAGCCAAGGTTCCAATCTATGGCTTCGTTTTCCAAGTGCAAGCCCCCCTTTCCTACTCCACTCTTGACAGCGTCAGTACTAACAGTGCCGCCATTCTCACTTTCCACGTTCAGACCCTTCCCAGTGCATCACCTCACTGACTACTGACTTTTTTTTTTTCCTTCTGCCACTAGCACCTGCAGCAATGGTTAATTCCAGCGGGACAAGGTGCAGGTGGCTATAATTTCTAGGGGCCCAGGAGAGGCAGTCCTCATCCTTTGGAGACAGGAGGTCTCTTCCATTCTGTGCACAAGGAGCCCTCTCCTGGGCCCCTCTAGCCAGGCATGCCTGGGAGTCCGACGGCCACTGCTGCCTGTCTGCCCTCCTGACAGCTCTGGTCTTGCCCCACCTGCTCTGCAGCTGCCCTGGGACTCCGTAGCACTGAGAGATCCATAAGAGACGCATCTGTTGCTCTGGCCCACCTTGCTATGCACAAGGCAGTGTCCTCCAGAAAGATCTCACAAGCAGAGAGCTTTATGGCAGCCCCATGGTTCTTCCACACAGGATGTATCAAATGCAGCATAGTGCTCCACACACCTTCCTGTAATTTTCCACAGGGGCTCCTACATGATAGATGCTCAGTAAACATTGGCTGAAGAGAGGGGAGGGAGAAGGGAAAATAAAGTCAGGACCTACTAGGGTTTTATGGTGATGATACTCCAGGGTGTTGGTAGCTTGTAGTATACCTAGAGCCTCGTACAGTGCCTGAAACTTACTAATACTTAAATAGATGAGAAAAGAAACCTAATGGGAAAGAAGGATGGAGAGAAGAGGAGTTAGAAGGCAGAGACCAAGTAAGGGAGGGTAAGAGAGAGGGTGGAGGAGAGTTTGGACTCAGGAGTTGTTCTGCCCACCTGGGCTAAACAAGGCATGGCAAATCATCCCGCTTCTCTTATTTGTCTGCTGTCAAACCCAGTAAAATGCCAAATATTTTTGTTTTCATGTTTTAATATTTGTCAGGAGCATTGATAACTTATATGAGAGGGATTATAGCGTACAAAGACATGTTTTCTATCCTCAAAGAACTTAAAATCTAGTTGAGAAAAGAAAAATAAACAAGTAAGATTTAACAATATGAGATTCAAATAATAAATTCATAATTATGTACTTACATACCACCTTCTATGTTTATTAATTATATTATTAGAGCAAGAAATGGCCCAAGAGCTCAGGGGAGGGAAGAGTCCAGGTGGACCCGGGAAAGGGCAGGTTCCCGAGGAGGTGGGAGTGGGGCCGGCCCTTGCGGAGGTGTGAGTTCTGTTACAGTTCTGGGTGGCACCAAACACGTCCAGTGTTCTCCTCAGGATCATTTCAGGGAGTTGCATGCCCCAAATATTTTTATAAAACCAAAATAGATTTAAAAAGTGGGTTCATGAAACTAATTGGAAAAGTCTTTAACAAAGAATGAAACCATTTATTCACTTATTAAGTATGAACCTTGGCCTGATTCCACCTTGGGGTGAGTTGCATCAGTCAGGCGATACCCTCCAATCCGTAATTTGTAACAAAACATGCAACTTATTCCATGGCAAACGTAAG